CGTTAAACAAGCATTCTGTGCACATAGAAGGTCGTATAGTCACAATTCAGAAGGCGAGGATATGCAAAAGGCTCCTATTTTTGGCTATGAAAGCACAATGAGAATATGTAGGTAACTGTGTTCCTTCCATGATTCATGTTCACATGCAAGTAGGTATTCAGCTGTCAGGAATATAATGAATCGCTGGCCTATAGCAAGATTTCAACAGGGCATCCTACCTTGTTCATCACTTTAGGAAGAAACACAACAACTCCAAAGTAAATGCAGTGGATATAAAGGCTTTGAAATGTATAATGCATTGGTTATGCAGTACAGTGCAAAACAAGAGGAATGCTTCACACCTGTGGGAGGATAGTGATCCTAAATGATGAGCTGGAATTTTCATCTCTCAGATAGATAGATATCTTTGGAAACATGGCCCAGGGTTCTTCCATTATACCCCAACAAGCAAGCTGTGCACCAATCCAAAATCCAGGTGAGAATTCTTGGATCTATATGGGGGAGGGGGTTCAAAACAACACAGTGCACATTATATATACTACACTACACTTATTTTTCTATGCAAGGCCTGTTTTGGTTTAACAAGGTACATCAGTAGTAATGTGTTCTTCTCAACAACTATGACTTATATAGCCAGTACAACTTACCAATAATGGCATGCAAAAATCTCCAAGGTATAACGCTAACTATTGTGGGAAGGCTTGCAATATTGGACATTTTCACAAGGGATATTGTGAACAACTGTTAACCTCTCTTGTGGATTGTCTATATTTGAGAAAAACAGGGAATATTTTAATTTGACCAAGGGCCTCTCTGGAAGGTGAGTTTACATGTAATGGTTGATGTTCTGTTTTCAACATCTGTGCAAGCAGGCAGTGTTAAAGCAAGCACTCTTTTCCTGGAAAAGAAGCACCTGGTTCTTCTTCTGTGATTATATGGGCACTGATTCTAGAAGACAGCCGCACGTGACAGTAGAAAAATAAAAAAAATCTGCAATTATTTATTTATTTATAGTCAAATTTATACCCCGCCCTCCCCACAAAGCAGGCTCAGGGTGGCTTCCAACAACAATAAAACAATATAAAATAAAAACATAAATAGTACGGAATTAAAACACAACGATTAAAATAGTGCATTACAAATGTTACAAAGTACTGGCGGCAGTTAAAAATAAACAAATGAGGTGTTATCAGATGAAAGTGCTTCAATGTTATTCCACATACGTGTTTGGATGTTATTTGCTCGTTCTTGAGGCAGCTGCTGATGTCAACATTACGGGCTGTGCACTAAGGCCCCTAGTTACATGCCTGGTGGAAGAGCTCCATCTTGCAGGCCCTGAGGAACTGTGAGAGGTCCCACAGGGCCCTGATCTCCTCCGGGAGCTCGTTCCACCAGGTAGGGGCTGCCACCGAAAAGGCCCCGGCCCTAGTAGCAGCTAGCCTGGCTTCCCTCGGGCCAGGGAGGATCAATTGATTTTGAGACCCAGATCGTAGTGCTCTCTGGGGTATATACGGGGAATGGCGGTCCCATATGTATGTTGGACCCCGGGCATATAGGGCTTTAAAGGTAAGAACCAGCACTTTGAAGTGGATTCGGTATACTACTGGCAGCCAGTAATATAGATACCAGAAAGGACCAATCTTAGGAAAGCCTCTGTACAACCAAACTGAATTTTTTTTCTGTTCTCCTCTTACCAAAACACCTATCCACTACAAACAGGGATCTTCCCATTTATTTCAGCAGATTTAGAAATATATCCCTCAGTCCTATCTTTATCGTTTATCCCTATTGCTATATCAGATAGATTTTAAAATTCAGCTCTTAATATCCACCTGACATGCTCACTTATGCAACTTCTGCATTTCTTCACAGCCAGACTAAATATTCTTCCTTTATTTATTTACAGTGTTTTATTGTGCTAACCTAATTACATGAAGACCTTTGTTACTACTGTTGTTTTATTGCAGAGCCATACCTTTAACACAGCAACTAGTCCTAAAACATCATTTGGGTGACCAAGCAAACCTACCTCAGATTGCAGGAAAAGGAAGATCTACTGTCCAACTTGGAGCTCTCATGAGACCCAACTTGGAGCTCTCATGAGCAGAGACCCAGATACTAATTGTTCCACCATTCTGCTGTTCGTACTGGCATGCAGCCCTTGAGGTATTTAAAAATTCTACTAGATGATGCCATAATCTGGTGGGCTGGTGCTCCTGATAAATTGCTAAGCATCTTGAAGACCAGATGGAAAAGTCCCATGAGTCGCATTTAGCCTCCAAGCTATAATTTGCACATCTCTGATATAGAATGTGTACATGTGATTTTCCCTGGGGTGAGTTTGACCACATGCATTTAGAGCACAAAAAGATGCCACTGTATCCAGAAATAAGTTACAAAAGCAGAAGATGGGCTAAGTTAAAATCACACCCTAAATTATAATTAGATTTGGGGGAATTGCACTTACTTAATTTAAACAGCCACAGGTCCAAATGCATAAGTTCCCCTAATTACACCAGAACATTATCTCCTGAAAGCATATAGTCACTATTTCTAGTTAAACAATGACATTGCTAATAGTTTTAATAAATATAAGATGCGTCAGTTAAGATATTTGTAAATTCAAAATTGTAGGCTGAAGTGCTGAAAATTGAGTATTAATCCAAGAAAGAACAACAGGGGGTGTTTTTACTATGGATTCTCACCATTTAAAAACAAACAAACATTCTGTAATATTGATGTTTTATTGCCTGCTTCTATATTTGAAATATGTAATATATTTGGTAATACATCTGATTTTACTTGTATGTAACCTAATATCTGACAAACTTGATGAATCTATATTTCCCCCTACCTTTTCTTCCCTTCTGTATCCCACCTTTTCTTAAAGAAAACAAAAAACAAAAAACACACAGTGGCTTGGATCCACTGGAGTTCTTCCAGGGATGCAAGGATTTCTGTCCATGGACAGTGACTTTCTCACCTCCTTCTCCTGTTGCAGCCCAAAAATGCCACCCCGATCTTGTTCACAGAGGTTCTGGAACAGGTTTTGGGGGAGTATTTCTGGCTGCTGTGGAAAGGGGGAGGTGAGAAACTCATAAGAGCCAGCACTGTCCGAAGATATTTCTGTGGTCATGTGGCCGGCGTGACTAAACACCAAGGCGCACGGAATGCTGTTACCTTCCCACTGAAGTGGTACCTATTTATCTACTTGCAATTTCTTGCTTTCGAACTGCTAGGTTGGCAGGAGCTGGAACTAGAGACAGGAGCTCACTCCGTCATGCGGCACACTGGGGTCTCAAACTGCTGAACTACCAACCTTCCACAGCCTGCAGTTCAGCGTCTCAACCATGTTTTTTAAATAAGTTGGAATAAACAGAATTATGCCATTTTAATTGTAATTAATTTTTTTAATTTTCATTTCCTTATCAAAAATGCTATTCACCCAAATGAGAAAAGAAACAAGTACCACAGAAGACAAATATTACGAATGACAGCAGCTTACCAAGGACGTGCGTACAATTGCATCCACAACAGCACTGAAGACTTTCTCAGGCAGTCGGAGGAGAGTGGTGCCACTGTCTACAATTGCTTTTTCTTTGTTGTACTGATAGAGAAAGAGAAACAACCATGTTAAGAGACTGTATCAAATAACTCACAGGTGAGTCAACAGCACAACTCTTTCTCCTCTCAGGGCCTGGCACAGTACAGCAAAAGCCTGAAATACCTGATCCACGAGACAGATCATGAGCCCTTCAGCATAGACCAAGCCACTATTCCATGGTGAGGCCAGTCCTGGCCCCACTCCCAAGTGGCCCTGAGACATTTAGTTTGCTCATAAACCCAGTGCTTTATGGGACATTTTGCACAACAACATGAAAGATTAAAAGACCTCTAGGAGGACAGGGAGTTATTTCTGTCTCTGAAACAGGCAGCTGTTGGTTTTATACTAAAATGAGACCATCTAATCTATGATCTACAGTGCAGGCTCTCAAATTATTTGAATGTCAACTCACATTTAAAAGGAATATATACAGTGTCCTGGTAACATTACTTTGTACAAATATATGGGAAGAGCAACTTCAAACACTACTTAACAAGTACCACTAACTGTGCCCTGGCCAGAATGCCCCAGGCTAGCTCAATCTCATCAGATCTCGGAAGCTAAATTGGGTCAGCCCTAGTCAGTATTAGGATGGGAAACCACTAAGAAACTCCAGAGTCCTTATGCGGAGGCAGGTAATGGCAAACCACTTCTGAACATCTCTTGCCTTGAAAACCCTATGGGGCAGCCATACGTCAGCTGCAACCTGATGGCAGTTTCTGCCACCTACATCACTAACCGAATGCCTGGTAATTAGCAAATGGCCTTTAGCTCTTACAGTATATTCTAGCTCTTACAGTATATTCTCAGCACAGTACTAAACTACATCTGCAAAGTGAGTGTAACCAAGGATTGCTACATTTCTTCTGTGGAAACTCTTCTGCTCTTTTAAATATTCCAAAGGATACAGAATTTCTATACAGATACATCACTGAAAACCCATCTACTTCAGAGTTCTTGAACAAAGAGAATCCCTTCTGCTTAAGACATGTGGGAACCTTCATCCAGTCTGTTCTAATTTTATTTTACTAAGTTAACAGTTATTATGGCCAGCTGGCAGCGATTTAAAGTTTTGTGATACAATAAGGCATGGATTCCTTTCACAATGTATCAAGGTGTGGTGGTGTGGAGGAGAAAAAGCCTGAAATCAGAAACCTCCAACAAACTAATAACGTTGATGAAGTAGCTATGCCCACAATGATCACAATGTCCAGTACAAACCCTACATTTCTTCTTTATAGTACCAAAGTGTTGTCTATGGAATATGCTCTTGGGCAACTTCCTTTCATGCTAATGAGCCAGCTTGGAGAAATTCTGACTAAACTGTGCTCATCATTACAAAATCTGAGCACAGTTTGGAGACATGCTAATCAATGTTAGATTTTATGAAGTAGAACTAATGTAATGTAGGATTCATCCAAGTGACTTGGAGGACATTCAGAAACCGAGAACTCCACTTTTATGGAACAGGTGACTGAGGGCTTCAGGAAGGACAGGCTGTGGTTGCCACTGAATTAAGTGACACACTCTTTTGTTAACTTGTATACTCTGAAGTAAATCCCCTTAATGGGTCTCTAAACTATGCTTAGGTCATACCCTAATCCTATTGATCAGCATTTTAAACCACATTTGTGGAATTTTTTTCCCCTTGCAAATTGCTAGGATTCTTTAAAAAAGAATCTGAAATTATGGTTCCTTATAAATACCTCTCTACAGTCCAAATTAAGGTTCTGGCCTGCAACCTCCAGTTTGAGAATTTCAACCTGATAATACCACTCTTCTTTAATAGGTGTATACCAGACTTCTCCCTCATACAGGCTTGGTTCAATTCCACCCAAGATCTGAAAAGAGAAATACAAGTCATAAGATTTCTCTTCCTGTAGTAAGCAATAAAAATATAATAGTATAACTAATACAGTATGCATGCAGCTTTCCAAATGGTGCTTGGTGTACTAGAATTCCACTGAAATGCATTTTAAGCCTTTTTTTTCAAAAAAAGAAAAAAGAAAAGGAAGTACTTGCATAGGCTATATTAGGCATGCAAGGTGATTTTTCACTGCAATTCAACTAAAAAATTCTAGCTTTGCAAACTTTTTTTATATTCAAAACATTTATTTGCTTGAGCAAAGGAATATAAAACTAAGACAACTCTATACCTCAACCACATAATTGTAATATGAAATGGAGTTCACAAAATCAGCAGGGCTTTTGATCCTATGTTTAAAGTAATGGTTGGCATATTAAGAGAACAGAAAGATAACATTCTAGTTCATGTACTTGAAACATTTCTGTCCCACCTTATCTCCTCACACCCAGCATGACTTTCACAAGTCACCAGTTAAAACTCAAAAAACTCAAAACGGAAACGGAAATGCAGTCAGAATAGTCCCCATATCGCAAAATTTTATGAAATGAAACAATGTATATTGTTTTTAAATAGCATAAAATTTAAAAAATGATTCATCAGTTAAAGGCCACAGTTAATCAACAACACTGGGCTATTTAATTCAATAAAGTTATAGTGCCATCCTAAGCAGATTTACACACTTCTAAGTCCACTAAGGTCTTTCAGTAGAAAACAGGAAGAGTCCAGTAGCACCTTAAAGACTAACAAAACTTGTGGCAGTCTTTAAGGTGCTACTGGACTCTTACTCTTTTCTATTGCTACAGACAGACTAACATGGCTACCCATCTTGATCCTTCAGATATATATAGAACAATCCTAAGAATGTCTATCCAAAATTAACCCCCATTTTATTACGTACGTTTTACTCCCAGGAAAGTGTTCTTAGGATTGCAGAAATATGCACTTAAATTACACTGCAATCAGTACACACACTAAAATGGAATATTATTTCTGCTTTATAATGATTTATATAGAACACAGGTCTCCAGAGTAACTAATAACATTAAAAGGTCTTTTTTCTACCTAAATAGGTTTAAATTCATTGTGTTAGTAAAAGCACTTTAGAAAGCCATGAATATTGTTTCTTTCAGGTTGACCCAGATACTTACAAGACTACCTCCACTGGTACCAGATCCAGAAACAGGCAAACCAGCTCCACACATCTGTAAGGAAAAGATGTTGGGGATCTTGGCTTGACTCACAAGGGAATCAAAAAAGGTCTCCACAGAACTCGAGGGCTGTAATAAAACAACAAAATTTGTAAACTGTGTCAGGAACTCTCACATAACATGACAACTTTCCATTTTTCCCTTTCTGTACAGATCATCATCGCCAAAGGAATTTTTAGAAATGCAGTGAAGATTTTAAAGGCCAAGGACCTGTACACATGCAATCCCACAACTGATCTCTGAGGTTAGGCCTCATTACCATTAGGCCAACACTCTGTCTGCCTTAATGAATAATACCAGTAGTCCTACTTCTCTTTATCAGTCCTCAGCACTAGCTATACCAGACCATCCTAAGGTGATACATTAATATATTTTAAATTTCATTTCCTTTTAAGAGCCTTATATTGAGTCAAAGCTCTATTCCATCTTACTATTGTCTATATTGAGAAAAAGATAGACATACATCCCTGCTGAGGGAAAGGGGTGTCATCTATAGAGAGATTTAAAGGGTGTTTAAGTCTACTGATTTGCTAGGTTTTTAAGGGGTGTAGGCTGCAGGAATTTTAAGGGGGCTATTTCGATTTATTCTATTTTATACATTTACAGTTTTAATTTTTAAGTCACCATGAGGTGAGGTATATGAAGTTAGCCAGTCAATAAATACTCTGGCAGCAGCTTTCCATGCTGTTTGGTAAAGAAAGGTCCCTTGCAGCACTTTATTATTTAAAATCATTTAACTGAATATGCTAGGGATTGAACCATGATCCTTCTGCAGCCAGAACATGTATTCTACCATTGAGCCATAGCCCTTCCTACAATTTTGATTGTAGGGTTGCCAAGTCCGGTGTTGTGCCGCAGCGGGGGACTCCCGGCTGGCGTCTGGAGTGTGTGTGCCGGCGGCAGGGAACGGGCCTCTGGGGTATGAACAGTGGTTGTACTTAATAAGGTAGTTAAAAGAGCTAGATTTGTTTTGAGTGTGACTAAAGGCCAATTCATAACCAACTGAATACAGACAAATTTCCTGGAATAGTTCAGTAAACAAAGCAACTATTTTAAAGAGAATCTCTTTCATTAGATGAAACAGTAGAAGGAGAAGTAGTAAAGTACTGAAAGTGCTTAATTATCAGCTTATAATGATGGGTTGGTAGGTAAAAAGTCAAATTACCTTGGCGAGGACACTATAGGCAAGTCCAAGGATCCCATGCCATTTAACTCCTTTTAAAAAGAAATTGTCAGACTGAAAGATGGTAGCAATATTGATAGTATAAGTTCCATTTATCCCTTTAGGCATAGTGATAACATCTGTGCCCAGAGTTCCAGTCCAGCTCCCTTGGGTATATTTAACAGTGACTTCAGTGCCCAGTGACCAATATGTGCTTGACCTAAGACAGGGGAAAAAAAGGCAGCAAAACTCATGAACAGGTTTTTTTTTTTGTATTCTCTACATGAGTAGCCCAAATCCTATACAAGGCCAATATTTAAAATCTCTATAAGAATACAAGTATCTATAAGCCACCTCAAGCAGGTTCTAGCCACCCAAAATAGACTCTCCAGAGAGGTCGCACAGAAAATTTTAAAATAAATAAATAGGGCAAATTTGACAAAAGTGTATATTTTTCCTTACTTTGATTCTGCATAGGCATGGGAAGGGGAAAGGCAGTCTCTTCTGCAACCACCGAAAACACCATCCAGTCACTTCTTTGGCTTCTGAGCTTTTGCTCAGGTGATGGGGGAGTAATTTTCACTGCCAAGCACATACTCACAGCCAGCCAGAAAGGGCAAGAAGCTTCTTTTATACAATAAAAGCTGAGAGTCTCAAGAACCTGAATTTTGCACTTATTACCACATTCTGTGCTTTTTCTGTAATCCCACAGAATCATGGCAGAGATCCAGTCCTGCCAAGAAGCCGCTGATTACCTTTCCTGTTCACCCACCTCCAGGAGCTCTGTGTGGCTTTCACCTGACTGAGAATCACTGGGCAACCACCAATATCACTCGATAAATCTGCCCCCTCAAAAGACTCCAGAAGAAACTGAACAAAGTTTGACCTCCTGTTTCAACGTAGAAATTCCTTGTTTTGAAGATGATAACTCTTGATCTGATTTTCTTCTTCCTAATTGACAGTATATGTACATGACCATATGTAGCTTTCTTATAATGTTAGACTGTTTGCCTGTCTAGCGCCATAATGTACACTGTGACTGGCAGGAGCTCTCCAGGGCCTTGAGATCTTTCCCACTGTTTCCAGCCTGAATTCCTTTTACTGGCTATAGCAGAGATTGAACCTGGAAACCTCTGCATACAAAACATGTGCTCGTCATTGAGCCACAGCCCTTCCCAGTCTCTTAGTCTGATTACCATTAATTATATGTCTCGCTCTCAGTCATCCAACATGGCACAATCCTAAGTAGATAGGCCAGGAAGGCTGCAGTTGCCTCGCCCCCCCCTCTCTTCACATCTTAAGTTGCACCCAATGGTTCTTTCCTACCCCAGCTTCGGCTTTCAGTTACAACGGGTCAAACACTCTCTACTAAACTGTGCTACAAGCTGAATAATTATGAGGCAGGTGTGGCACATTAGTTCTGAAGAGTTCTCTTCTAACATAGATTCCATTACAGAACCAAATCTTGCCTGTTAATGCGACAAGTGCAAATATGTGGATTCTGCATTATTCATTTTATATAGCTTGAAATGGTCTGCCTGAGGACACCAGGAAAGCTCCCATGCTTCCATCTTTCTGCAATCTATGTAAAACAGAATTGTTCAGGAGGGCATTTCTAAAGAGGAAACAGGGCTATACTATAACAAAATGGTTTGGGAAAGGGCTTTATAAAGGAAAAGGGACCATGGACCAAACCACTGTATCAAGGACCTCCATACAGGAGTAATAATAATTCAAAAATATTCAAAATTCAAAAATTATAATAATTATTATTAGTTAGATTTTTGAATTGTCCATCCCTGCTATTGCAGGGCTCTGGGTGATGTACAATAATGGATAAAAATATAAAAACTCTACAATTAAAATACAGCAGTATTATTATTTACTGATGTAATACCATTTTCTGTCTCTGCATTTTGTCTGGATTTCTGAAATCCAAGTCCCAGTACATATGTCTCATCATATTGACTGCATTGATTTACACTGCGTAAACCACTCTGAGTCTCAATGAGAAAGGCACTCTATACATATAAATAAACTTAAGTAGTGATGCATTCTAAGCAACACTTTTACCATGAAGAGTATAATCACTGTATGATTACTTGTTGATGTAAAAAGTTAGTGAGTGGATATGAAGTATAATAATTAATGAAGTTAAGATTATGCATTACAAAATGCAATTTCTCTTGCTGTCAGATTGAATAAATTTGCTTCCTGACTCTTATGAAACTCAAGGATGAGAGTTATTTGCAACTCTCCTAAAATAAAGGCTCAAGACCTTTTCTGCTGCTCAGCTTTCTCTTTGAGAGGCAGCCAAACTAGTTGCTCTTTTCCTCTAGAGTTATAATTGCTATGTCACCTCTGCCAAATGGTTAAACTGTCGATCTTCAGAAAGACAGTTCCCCCCCCCAAATATCACTTTTGTCTTAAGTATAACACAAAATTCTTTTCCAGATGTCACATGAACCAAAGCAATGGATCCCTCTCCCCTTTTCATAAAAGTTTCTACTTTCCACTTAAATGTAGGGTGTTTTTTTTACCGTAGTATGCAAATCAGGAATCCAGTCTTTCCCAAGGCCCCAGGCATTCACCAAAAAACCCACTGCCCCCATATGTGCGTGTTTGTGTGTGAGAGAGTATGTAAGGATGCCTATGCATAGTGTGCAGAGGGTGTGGAGAAGCCCCTCAGGAACTATGTAGAATATGGTGTGGAGATCTGCCAAAAGAACTAGTGAAAATTACTCCCCCATCACCTGAGCAAAAGTACCCTTTGACTCAGGAAAGGAAAGCTTAGGTCCAACCCAATGTGTACAGTAGCTTCTCAATCTATGAATTATTGGCAAAATTTAAAGGACACATACGCTCAACCTGTGCTTGAGATACGGCTGTGTGTGTGTTTGTTCCTAATACATCTCTTTATGGGTCAAATGTCATGTACAAAGCAACCCTAAAAATGGGACTTCCTCTGGACGCTGTTTACTGTAATTTCAGTAAGGTTTCAAAATCCCTGCTTTACACTGTTTACCTAGTGAAGTGTAACTGAGGGCACCTGACTGGCTCTATGAGCCACTGTTCCAGCATTACAAATCTCAGGGCTGAAATTAACCAGGAATTCTACCCTACTCACTGCACCCAGTGTCTAAAGGATGTTTGCTACATTACAGCAGCAGAAACCAACTGGCTTCCCTGCAGCTTTTCCCATGCAATTCCATTAACATTTGGGTGCAGGGACCACATGTGCTGGGCAAAGGACAGTTTCTTCCAATGCAAATGTTGCTTGTCCAGAAGAACAGGCCATGTTTGCATAGGAATAAGCAATACCATGTGGCCAATTTATATGGCAATGACATACATTACTTGTGTAGCATGATAATAATACACAAGAACTAGTTGTAAAAACAGGCATTCTACACCTGCATGCTTAACTACTTGTAAAGAGAAATCTCCTTACTCTAACTCTGCCCTGGACTTTTCTGACAAATTTCAGTGCTCTTTCCTAAGTGAGGGGGGGCACACACTTACTTTTTTGTATCAAAGTATGAAGCCACATCTGCGTTCGGTGCACCTGCCACTGCAAAATTGCTGCTTCCAGTGTCAACTAGAATATTTAGCTGTCAAAAGAAAACACGATTATTTCTCGGATTAAATGCAATAGGTCAGATCCTGTGGAAGTTTCCCACAAATGGGGATGTTTTCTTCCAGAACAAGGGGCCTTGCACCATAAGAAAATGCCACTTTTAGTCGAAAAATTTTGTAGGCTTCATACTTTAAGCTTGATAGGCATTGCATATAATCAAAAACTGTCAATTCTTCTAAACAACATTATTTTAATGTGATTTTGCTAGGGGAAGTGTTTAATTTTAAAGAAAGGGCCCGCAGTCCTATAAATAGACACCCAGAAGTAAGAGGGTTTTTTTCCTATTACTTTTTCATTTGCAGCCAATTTATAAAAGCCAGGAGCTGGTCTTGTCTGAAATGAAGTCTTGTCTGAAAGTAGCATAAGAAAAGTTTACAACAGAGAAGTAGTACATATTGAAAGTAATAGTGAAAAGTAAATACAAAGGTTTAAGGAGCCAGTATAACTGGGATCACAGATTTCATTGTGAAGTTCTAAAGGGATCTTAAACAATGACAAAGGCATACTGAGTTGTCTTTGAGAACTTTGCTGCAATGAAAGAGAGCTTGGAGATTTTATTTGTTTACTTCATTTATACCCCACCTTCCTCCCTTCTGAGAACCAAATGCAGCTTACATTCTTCTTACATCATTCTTGTCCATTTTATCCTCACAACAACCCTGTGAGGTAGGTTAGTCTGACTGTGACTCTGACTGAAGTTAGGAAAAGAGGGAAGCAGAAGACTAATTGGGATTTAAAACAAACTGCAGTCTTTTATGTACATCTAGTACACAAATAAGGGTTTGTGCAACAAGACAATTTAAACAAACCACAATTTATTGTGACATGAATTCAGCCTATAGTTGTAATTTACATTACAGTTTAAAGAGGAGTGGTCTTTTTTTTTAAGACGTAATTTACATTACAGTTCCCTCCCCATTTAAAGAGGAGTGGTCTTTTTTTTTAAGAAGAAGATAAATGAGAAAATAAATGCTACTATAATTCTCACATCTCAGCAGCAGAGAATGAATTGATTCCCCAAAAACCCAGTCTGGCATTTTGAGAGATCAGCCATCCATTTCTGGTGTGGTTCTGCTGTCTGGTGTCAGAAGATCATGGCAATGTACATCTCCTGAGTGCAACACTACTTCAGTTTGGTGTAGTGGTTAAGTGTGCGGACTCTAATCTGGGAGAACCGGGTTTGATTCCCCACTCCTCCACTTGCACCTGCTGATGTGACCTTGGGTCAGTCACAAGCTCTGGCACAGCTGTCCTTGAAAAAGAGCAGTTTGTGTCAGAGTTCTCTCAGCCCCACCCACCTCACAGGGTGTCTGTTGTGGGGAGGGGAAGGGAAAGGAGTTTGTAAGCCGCTCTGAGACTCCAAGTGAAGGGCGGGGTATAAATCCAATCTCTTCTTCTTCTTCTTCTTCAAATAAAATTATCAAAACCATACATGGAGGTGTAACCCTGCAGAATTCAAAGACCCTTCTTTCAAGGAGAGTATGACACCTCATCTTAATGAGCACTGCGCTACCATGCATATTTCTCCAAAGGAATAATGTTCTCCACGAGGAACAAAAACACCACACAGTAAAACATCAAAGCTGCAGCCCACTCGAGTAGCACCAGAATTCACATGACAAATTGCTATTCAAATTGACATTCCTTATCTATATGAATCTGGAATAATCAGACATAGGCAGCTGAGGCAAACACTGCTCTATTGTAATCTGCACAATGGTGCTAGTTAAACAGATTGAGAGGACTAGAAATGAGACACTGCGTGTTTTTAAGATTCAGAGTGTTCATAGTTCTTTGCATACTGCTCATAAAGGAAACCATCAAGAGTGACAATTCTTTCTATTTGAAATATGCTACAAGAGAGACAATGCATGGGCATGTGAAATTGATTTTGCAGAGAGGTTAAAAAAGGATGAGATTATACTAACATTCTAGACCATAATGTAGTAACTGAAATAAAATGACAAATGTTTCTTGACAAATGTTTCTTGGGGAGTACTGGAAGTACACTCACAAGCTCTGAGAAAGCCAAGCATTTGAAGCTACAATGCTGCATGAAAACAAATACTTCTATCAGGAATAAAGTACACTTTTTGAAAAGTCTTGAAAGTATTTCTGTGTTTGGAAATGTAGGACAAGTGATCAATCTGTGGACGTCCCACTTAACCAGGGATACCAAACCATCCTTAACATGTGAACATATCAGTCCATCAGTTTTGGAAAAACTCTTCCACCATATTTCCTCATTCATTAAATAGCATTATTCGTCACAGATTTCCATGTCACCTTACAGTAAAGCAAACTAGAAACTACAGTAAAGCAAAATGAAGCTTCTCTTTTTAATATTGTGTTTTGAAACAATCCAAATGTTTATTGTGTTAAAAAAGAGGGAGAGTCGTAAAAATTCACTCAGCATAGAGTCACAAAATGGCTATTTCCACCCTGAGCTTATATTTAATTCTCAGTTCTTTTAATGTTGCTGGTGGTGTGGGAGAGGAGGAAAACTTAATATAAAATATTGCTTATCAGAATCCATGTGAGTTTTCTCTTCATGAGCAAAACCACTATCTCATCAACATGAAAAGCTACTGCAACTCAATTCAACATCCTAAGAGTAAGTTAATAACCTGGATTCTGTGTTTCCTAGTTGATCATCACTAGGAAGGTATTATGAATCATTTATTGGCTTTAGGACTTAATGAGTCATACTGTTTCTGCTAGAAGTGCCAGGGGTCTTCAGTAAATTTTGGTCACTGCTGCACCCTGCATCTCTCCCACTAATACAAAACAAGAATCCCACTAACACTGAACAAAAATCTTCATTTCATGATCCACATCACTTCCATTCTGCAGTCCAAATTCCAGGTGCTTCCAGTGAACAGAACTAACAACTAAGTTCAAACAGTAGATAAGTATAAGCAACATCGGTCGGTGGCTGTAGCTCAGTGGCACAGTGTTTGCTTTGCATGTAGAAGGTACCAGGTTCAATCCCCAGCATCTCCAAAAAGATATCAAGTAGTACGTCAAGTGACAACACTCTGCCTGAGAGCTGCTGCCAGTCAGAATAGATAATGCTAACCAGGATAGGCAGTCTAAAGCAGCTCCATGTATGGTTTTTTGCTGTACTATAGTATGGATTTGAATATGATTTTATTAGGTATATGTATATCTTTTTATACTGCTGTGCACTGCCTTGAGCCCTGTTCCACAAGGAAGGGTGGTTTCACAAATTGAATCAAATAAATAAATAATTCTGAAAGTAAAAAACAAAACAAATACCCACAGGGTAACTCACTAGCCTTAGGTCCAGCCTCAAGCTGCACTCCCAGTTCAAGCCCCAGAGTCCCTGATTGTTTCATGAAGTTTTGGTGAGCTCAGTGGTGGGGGCATAGTTTATAGTTGGTGATCCCAGATTAAATATCTGGCAACGCCGTATATGAGAATCAAAGGTAACAGCTGATAGAGTGTATGCTAGGCCAGACAATCTGACTGTCTATAAAGGCGTCTTCATACATTCATCTGTCTTTTACAAAACCTGGTCTCCCTCTTTGCATTTTTCAGGTGCCCCCGCCAATTGAGGCTAGATGGGTAGCAACTTGAGAAAGTGCCTTTTTGGTCATGGTGCCAAAACTTTGGAACTCTCTCCCCAGGGAGATTCGTCTGTTTCTTTCTGTCATTGTCTACTGCCAGTGGTTGAAGACTTTCTTGTTTTGTTTGGCATACCCCCACTAAACACTTATGAACCCTCTTCCATGGCTATGTTTGTTGTTTGTATGTCTGTTTGGTCTTACTGTATTATTAAATATATATACATAATTTTTAAATGCCATTTTAAATGTTTTAATGTCTCGATGCTCACTAGTTTGGGGACCCTATTTGGGTGGAAAGGTGGCATATAAATGTTTTAAATAAAGAAATACTAAGCATAGTAGACCTGTTATCCAAAATGCCATCTGATATCACAACAAAGAAACCCAAGATTGCACAAAAATTCAGCCTATAACCTATAAATTAGGATAATTGCACGTACTGCTGCAAACAAGCATCTTATTTTCATAGAACAATTTTATTGAGCTGAAAGTAATTTGTTAAAAACAAAAAACTACTTACATCCTTGATTACATATAAAAGGGACTAAGCACAGAATGCAAGGATATCTACAAAGCTGAACCAGTGTGTTTTTTAAAAAAAGCACAAAGGTCAACTCTACTGTTATGGATTAGCACTGTGAATGTCTCCATCTTTGGATACATTATTCATCACTAGGGACGGACATGGACTGGACCACAGACCTAATTTTTCCACTTGGCCTTCACTCATACTGCACACCTTTGCAAAAGCCATTTAAAGGGAATGTACTCCCTTTAAGTGGCTTTGTAAGCTGCACAGCATCACGGACCAAATAGACCATGACTCGGTCCATTAAATGTGGAGGTAAATCCCATGGTTGTTGAACCTCTGTGGTCCGTTATTTTTCTGGACCATGCCCATCCCTACTCCTCACGGGATATTGCACTATCATTGCACTAGCAATCTTTCATAACACAGGAAGATCCAGTTGCTGTAGCACAATAATGTAACTATGTGTGGATGCAGCCTCCCATTTGTCAATCTGATAATCCGGAAAATGGAAGAACAATGAAGCGTCTTAAAGAGGAAGAATGGTGAACAGTGAAAATGGATCATTATACCAAACACTGTGTTATGGAATTACTCCCACCCTTCGGGGGGGGGGGGTTCTTTAAAACAGATACATGGAAACCAAAAGTATCTTTGACTGTTTTAAAGCAACCCATTAGCACTAAACTACAAGGCTCCTTGAAGAATGGCCAGTCTTTCCAGTAATAATTCAGCATAGGCACCAGTCTTCTGACTGCAAAGATGTCAGAAGTTCATTTATTTCAACTCTTGCTGAAAACCTTGTGTGTCAGCCAATGACCACCATATGTCATCTTTTAAGAACTTTATTTAAAA